TGTGTGTGTGTGTGTGTGTGTGTGTGTGTGTGTGTGTGTGTGTGTGTGTGTGTGTGTGTGTGTGTGTGTGTGTGTGTGTGTGTGTGTGTGTGGGAAGAACAACATCCATCGTGGAATGGAGCCCAAGGATTGATCGGTGGCATCAGTGGATTCAATGAATGCCTAGATAGATAGTGGGATAGGTGTAAGGTAACAAACAGATGGATCTCATATTGCTGTGCTTCGAGATGGAGGGAAACAAACATATATCAAGGTGTAGGGAAACGAACGGATAGGAAGGTGTATGGAAATGAAGAGATGGATGGATGGATCGACCTGAATGGAGGCAATGCTTCTTTAGGTTCCTGATGGAAACAAACAGAGTGGGGTAACAAGGCATGCAGTCATGGAATTGTGAGAAGAAAACAATATAAACAAAGTGATATGGAAACGGACCGATGGATGGAAGGATTGAGGGAGGGAGGGAGGGAGGGAGGGAATGAGATGGGTGGACAGAGAGCAAGACGTGGGGTTGTGAAATTGTGGGGAAAAAATCGAGTAAAATTGCACAGCAAAGTAGTATACTGCCAGACTGCTGTCAGAGCCTGGCCTATGGAATTTGGAATAAATAATAATATGCGTCATCTGAGGATAAGATAGTCATATCATATGACAGTCCTAAAAGCAAAACTCCTTGAGGAAAAAGAATGAGAAGGCAATCAAGGAAAACGACATTGGAGAAGATATTCAGGGAAGCTACTCATCATTCCATGGACTTTCATTAAGCCTATTCGACGACAGAGACGTATCTTTTCTTATATATATTCCTACAGGTGCACTCCTGGGCACCACCGAGGGTACCGTTTCCGAATTATCAATGTTCGAATCATCATTCCATGGGCTTTCATTAAGCCTGCTAAAAGTTGGCGAAGCATATCTTCTTATGGATCGTCCGACAGAGGCAGTCCTAAGCACTTGAGAGGAGAGGGTGTCAGAATTATCGGGGTTTAAGACATGGATACGTGATAGCTGAGGCGAGGAATGCTGTTTAGGCAGTGTTTGAGCAGCAGGTGTTGGTCTGGTGGAAGGACCAGATCCCATACTACGAAATCCTGGACTGAACGAAGGACTTGTTTCTAGACCAGCAGCAAATCTTGGTCTCGTAAAGGATTCCGTTTCTAGGCTAGCAGCATACCCGTTCCGGACAGATGGACCAGGTCCTAAGCCATCCAATTCAGGTCCGAGTGGTGAGCCACTTTCTACAACAGGAAATCCTGGTCTGATGGAGGAGCCAGGAGTGGCATAACGGTCAGGAAACAACACACCTGTTTTTCCGTGAATGCGTTCGGGATCCACCGTGGGGACCACCACAGACTCGTCCTCGCGCTGAGCGGCGTGGCGCAACTGCAGAGTGGTGCGGACTGGTTGGTGAGACCTCCCTCTCCTTGGCCGTTGAAGAGGGCTTTCTACTTCTTGAATCTCGTCGCTGGTGAGCGAATGAGGGGAGGGGATGACAACGGGGGGGGGGGGGACATAGTCTAGGCCTGACGGACCGGAAGGTCTGTGCGGCTGGTCTTGTGACTCCCCTGCTCCTCTCGCGTGTTCCTCCGTACTTTCTGGTGATCCGTCAAGGAGACCGGACAAAATCTCAACCACCTTCCACATCCTTGGCCTGGTTGAAGATATCCGCTTGGTGCACTTCTTTGCCAGGTGTGAGACCTCCAATATTTGCGTCTTTTCTAGCGGTGTCACCGTTTGCAGCAGCGCGGGGTCGATGATTGCCCGCAAGGTCTCCCATCCTTCATCAAGATAGTTACGTGCCTGCCACACCGCAGAACAACATGCTTTCAGGAAAGATAACATTCGATTGCGTCCATTTTCTCCTTTTTCACAAAGCAGAATAAATTTCTAAAGGAGGCAACAGACCAGACCGATGTCCATGCTATCTCTTGTGAAGATCGTTATGTGCCACAGCAAACACTGGAACGTAAACGGCATATCAGGGTTAACAATAAACCAGGTTACCCAAAGAAAAAGCGAAAAAAAACAACAACAAAAAGAAACAGATCACCTGACCTGAATTGTTGATTGTACAGCAAGCGGAGCACAGGGGAGGTGGCAAAAGGGGTGAGCATATTCTATGCAATGAACCCAATTGGAAGAGAAGCTCGTCAGTGTCGAAACACGGAATGTCTCAGCGCAGTTTCATTGTCTCCAAATCGTACATATAGTCAGGTAGCCCAATGTCTGGTGAAACGGTTTTCACCTTTCGCAGTCACGGATGCGGATCCCAGGGCTCGATCCCCAGACCTTACCTTACCTTACCTTACCTTACCTGTGTACAGTATCAGGTCGACCCTGTGTGTCTTGAACCCGTGACCTGTGTGTTAGTAGTTGAAAGTTGTCTGTCGTAGGTCTGAGTAGTTGTCGGGTCTTGAAACTTAGACCTGTCGAAGTAGGGGTCATATCTGCATAGGGGTCATAGCTGTTGCAGTTCTGAAAGGTCAAGGTCGTAGCTGCAACAGTCCTGAAAGGTCAAGGTCATAGCTGCTACAGTCCTGAAAGGCCAAGTCCGCAAACTTCCGGAAGGTCCGGAAGTGGCCTTTCAAGTTTCTTCTCACGTTATACACAGCAGACCAGAGGCAAGTGGGCAAGTGGTGAGTCCAACTTCGTTTGGGCAGCAGTACCCAGTCCCAGTCTCACTTTGTACAGTCAGCAAGTACCATGAGGGACTGTGTACACCATGGACCCGGTGGAAAAGGGCAGACCAGTGACTTACAGAAGTATAAATCAAGAGGCAGCGTCCAGCCATTAATTCATTCCTGCGTGAGCCACGCGGAAGCGCTGCCCTAGCGTCTTGTGCGAGGTGGTCTGCAGATGCCCGAGGTTGAAGTGGGCTGAAGCAAGATAGAGTATCCGTAGCCAGTAGAGGTTAGGCGGCCGTAGCCGCTGTAGCTTAGAGGCGGAGTTCAGTGTGTGTGTGTGTGTGTTGCAGAGTGTATGTGCGTGGGATATTCAGGGAGGTCCAAAGTCGAGTGCGTGTGAACAGTTGGGGGACACAGTGTTGGAGAGAGGATGTGTGGGCGCCCGGTAACCAATTGGAAGCGAGTTTGTAACTGAACTGTGTTCTCGGCTTGACTATCTCTGAGTTTTGTGTGGGCACACAGTGCCAGTGTGAATTGCCATCCGTTTGCATGTATGCGAAGTGAAGAAGAAAGCGAGTCTGATTGCATTGGTACCAGAGCTGGTTCCCGTTATCCTATGCGCCATCGTCGTCTGGGTGCCACAGCTGTAGCCGTGCCATCGAAGGAGGAAGGTCCGCCATAGCTGCGCCGTCCAAGAAAGGTGCCGCGTACCTGCAAAGAAGACAACGACGAAGAGAGAGAGGAGAGAGAGAGAGAGAGAGAGAGAGAGAGAGAG